GAAGTCATCGATTTCCTTCTCAAACCCAGCAATCAGTGCTGCATGAGCAATAGCTAGTTCCATCTCTAGATTAGGCCTCCTAAGAGCTGAGCATTGAACAGGAATGAGTTTTTGATAGTTCTGCTCTACATTACAACTCAGGAGGGACTCAACCTGTGTGATTTGTAGCAATCTCTGGTGGTTACCGTTCTTCAAAGTGTTGTCAATATCACGCACAATCCTGTGAGCACTCAGAGCAGATGTTACATGGGCCAAAAACCTCCTCAAAACAGGGAAATGAGTGGAAGCTGCTCTGAGTATTCTCAGGGTACTAGTACAGCACTCACCAGAGTAACAAACAATGGGGTGTCCTCTAAGGTCCACAGGAGCAGTATCTACTAATTTGGTGTAGTGACCATAGGGGCATCCCATATCACATTCAGCCAGGGCCTGCCTGACTTTCTCAACAGGCTGCCCAAAAGCTGTCCTAAAACAAACAATGGCATTGACCTCAAATTCACTTAGTGGTTTGCACTGCTTTGAGCACTCCCACATCTTAGACTGGGCAGGTCCCTTATCAGAAACTTTCCCATCTGAAACACAACCCACACTCCCAGCCTGAGAAAGGTTACATTTGGAGGCAGCATCTTTACCTCCTCCATTGTTACTGCCAGCCTCCATAGGCACTTCTTTAGCAACAACACACTCCCCCTTCTCATTAACAGGGATTGGGGACTCTCTCACATGCAGGTAGGCTGCCTCATAAAAGTAAGGCTCTGTCATACTAGTGTGGCAGCCTTTTCCAAAATGATTGCATTCTTTAAATGTAATAGACTTAATAAGTTTAATGCTAGCCAGCAAAAACCCAGCATGTTTCCTGCGTATTTGTAAGGCTTTGCAAACTAGTCTTTTAACTGCAAGTCTACCAACAGTCTGTTTCAACTCTGCTTTACTTAGTGTATCTGCTACACCAGCATGCATGGACTTGAACTCTTCTTTGAGTCTGTTAAACACTTCACCGGCAGCTAGCAGGTTGGCGTTAACACTCCTATAACACTTTTCAATCGTCAGTTGGTTAGGCTGCGCCAAACTGTATCTAGCCTTTGTCACTCTCTTTAGTTTGGTATGAGTGTGATATTTTCTGAAATACCTTAGCCTGGTACTGCGATGGGACGCGTGATACTCTTGAAATGCTGCCAGCCTGGCACTACGGTGTGAGGCATGATACTCCCGAAACAATGCCTTAGTTTTTTCAGGGTTGGCTTTATAAGCTGCCTTGGTAGCTGCACGCTTTTGTTCAGGATTTACATCGTAAACTGATTTTGCAGCGGCCTTTCTTTTATCAGCATTATCTCTATATGCAGCCCTATCAGCAATATTTTTCTTCAATGGGTGCAACTTATACAGGGCCCTAGAAGCAGCCTTTTTCTTATCAGGGTCTGCACAATATGAGGCCCTAACAGCTGCCTTTTTCTTATCAGGGTCTGCATGGTAGGAGGTCCTAGCCACAGCCTTTATCTTATCAGGGTCTGACAAATAAAGGGATCTACCTCTAGCTTTTATACTCTCAGAATTTAGCACATAATATCTTTTGAAACCTGCCCTCTTTTTTCTTGGGTAGCGGTAAGGCATTTTCCCAGCAGCAAAATGTCACTTATCTGAAGATGCCCGGGTGTTGTCTTGGGTGTTGTCTTTGCAGCGATAACTACCAGCAAATCAGCGACAGAGGGCAGTGAATAGCACAATATTTCGGAGGAAAGAACGGCAGGCGCAGGTACAGGGGGAGAGTAGACGATTTGGAGGAAACAACGGCAGCTGTACGAGGATTCACTTGCAGCTAGAGGGCGAGAGTAGACGATTTCGGAGGAAAGAACTGTCAGGCGTTTTCTTATCAACGAGGACTCAGTTGCAGCAGGGCGAGAGTAGACGGAGTTGGAACAGGTATCGCCAACGACGGCAAAGACGTAGAATGAAGAGGTTCGCGATTCGGGAGATACAGGACCAGGGTGCGGCACGAACTCGCAGCAAAGTGCGTCAGGGTCGGTGGGTACACCCAGGCACGAAGGAGTGTCGTGTACTAGCACCTCCAAATAAACAGCTTTGGAATAAAAAGAAAAGGCGCAAATTACTGACAATATCCATTGGCAACTTGCAGAGCTTACATTGAAAACAAAATGAGTAGCTGTGGCGGCCCCAACTCCAGAAATTGAACTTCGCAGCAGGGGCCAGTACAAATACACCGAACGGGGTGTCGATGTAAGGCATGCACCTCAGAGAAATAATACAGGATTATACGCAATATTTTCGTAATAACAACACTTACTTGTGTACAAAACAGCGCAGTG